TGGTTTGGAGTACCCACCACAGAGCATCCTGGGAGCAATAACATGGCTGAGACATCATATTCTATAGTCTGGTCCTCAGTGCCACAGATGCACAATTCTACTTTGTCAGTGAACCAAGAAAACTGGCTCACATTAACATACCTCGCTGACCATTTTTCAAACTCCCTTATGTGCCAACATATAAGGAATATATGAGAAACAGGTTAAGTTTTCCAGTTTCTGAAATAAAACATACATATTTTTCATATGATAGCTAAAAAGAATTACTACAGAGTCCTTAACATTCTCAACCATTCTTCATCCCCACCTGACAGAGGAGGATCATGAGGCCTGAGAACCAGAGCAGCGTGTCCGAGTTCCTCCTCCTGGGGCTCCCCATCCGGCCAGGGCAGCAGGGCGTGTTCTTCACCCTGTTCCTGGGCATGTACCTGACCACAGTGCTGGGCAACCTGCTCATCATCCTGCTCATCAGGCTGGACTCTCGCCTGCACACACCCATGTACTTCTTCCTCAGCCACTTGGCCTTCACAGATGTTTGCTTTTCATCAGTCACTGTTCCTAAGATGCTCATGAACATACACACTAAATACAAATCCATCCCCTATGCAGGGTGTATTTCACAGATGTATTTTTTCATATTTTTTACTGATCTGGACAGCTTCCTTATTACATCAATGGCATATGACCGATACGTTGCTATCTGTCACCCTCTTCACTACACCACCATCATGAAGGAAGAGCTGTGTGCTTTACTAGTGGCTGTGTCCTGGATCCTGTCCTGTGCCAGCTCCCTTTCCCACACCCTCCTCCTGACCAAGCTATCCTTTTGTGCTGCTAACACCATTCCCCATTTCTACTGTGACCTTGCGGCCCTGCTCAAGCTGTCCTGCTCAGACATCTTTCTCAACGAGTTGGTCATGTTCACAATAGGGGTGGTGGTCATTACCCTTCCATTTCTATGTATCCTGGTATCTTATGGTTATATTGGGGCTACCATCTTGAGGGTCCCTTCAACCAAGGGGATCTGTAAGGCATTGTCCACATGTGGGTCCCACCTTTCTGTGGTGTTTCTATATTATGGGGCAATATTTGGGCAGTACCTTTTCCCAACAATAAGCAATTTCATTGACAAGGACATCATTGTGGCTCTCATGTACACAGTGGTCACACCCATGTTAAACCCCTTTATCTACAGCCTTAGGAACAGGGACATGAAAGAGGCTGTTTGGAAACTTTTCAGTAAAGTTAGATTTTTCTCACAATAATATCTGTGACTTTTATTTAAATCAGAACCCCACTTTGTTGATCTCACAGATCTGATTTTCCATTTGAATGTCTGAAAATGTTAAGGTCTCCTCAGATATAAGCCCTAAGATAAATGATGGCATGTTGAATGTACTTGGTAAACATTTGTTAACCATAATTTCATTCTCTTACTAATGATGCTCTCCTTTATGAACAATTTTTGATTAGCAAATGCTAAATCAATTTTATTACTTATTTCTACAACTTTGGGGGCATAAGTGATACAATGATATACAGTTCCATTATCCATTATTTGAGGAGATTTTTGGAAACCTTTATGTTCTGGGACCATAACCTCAGGTCTTAACATACCCCAGAATCTAAAGAATTAATTACGTTATTTCTCTACACAATCTTCTGAAGACTAAATGGGTTTTCTTTGCAACCTTATTGGTCTATTGAAATCAAAGAATCCAAACTGCTTGTCACTTAAATAAGAGGAAATGTATTACTCTCCACCCATGGGTATAAAATGTTACAGCTCTGAAGACGAAGGTCCCTTTAGATCAAGACCGGCCAGGAACACACACCCCCACCCCCCGCTTTGCTAATACTCTGTGGTTGATATTGCTGAGCCCGCATACATGGTCATTAACAAATGCATGCTTCATGCTGTCATCCTCTGTAATACGTATGCCACAATGCAGTGCATACTCTCTGAACACGTCATTGCTTCCCTACAAACGCCACTCCAGCTTCTGCACTGACTACCCTTCATGGACATCCTGCCTTCCCAAATGAAGAATGAAAGCAAATCTTTTCAAGCTTTTGTGTGCACAAGAATTCCTGGAGAGCTCGTTAAAACACAGGTTCCTGGAATCTACTACCACAAATTCAGATTCAGTAGTTCTGAGATGGGGCCCCCAAATTCGCATATATGATACTCCCACATTATAATGATGCTGTGGATCTGTGAACTCCAATTTGAAGAGCATTGGTGTAAGAAATTAAACCATGGACATTGTGGGGTGTATTTCTAGTGCCTTGCATGAATTCTGGGAGTGGGGAAAGTGGAACAAGGAAATGCCTAAATGATCTTAGTGATAGAGATATCGGTGGTTCATGTTGATATTTTCAGATTGATTCCAGCTGTGGTAAATTTCTTTTTCCAGTCTCTAATATCAGAGGTTCTTTCCTGCACTATCAGATGTTTTTGTCTTTTATATATAAATATATCAGATACTACATATCATGCTTTGTGTCATCACACCAGACGATATGTTCAAAGCACATGAAGCCAAAGCTTTGATAGCATTACATCCTGTAGCCATTGGTGGTTTGTTTTCATGAAGCCTATGGGATTTCGATGCGACTTGTCATTTGGCTAATGTTACTCAGAAACATTTTTTTTTTTTTAACTAACAATTAGTTCATCCAGGAAGCACAGTAAAATGTCCATTTGTTTCAAAGCACTATGATTTCAGAGTATCTGTATATCCGCAAAGGGACACTTGTGTTCTTGACAAGGCACTAAACAATTCTATGTTATAGGATGTCTTTTGTGTCTAAAAGCCATCATTTGATGTGCCATGCCCCTTGACATAAGCCCACAAAACAGCATTTATCTTGAATCCCATCCATATTATTGTTATTATGGGCATCCAGTTTTTACCCCAGTCTTTTCATTTATTTGTGTCTGCCCTGCGCAAAATACCATGTTTACCCAACTCCGTACATAAATATAAGACTTATTAGTACATAATCAGCAGGTAGAGTGACACTTAAGGCTGTGGTGATGCCCCAAACTCTAATCTATTTGAGGTATGAATTTGGAAAAACATTTGAGAGAGTATGATATTTGATAGGTGTGTGGAATATTAGATAGCAACGTTCCCTCATTATTCACTTATTTCATTCCATAAACTTTCACTTAGACTACTAGTAAATGAAAACCATCTGGCTTTGTTGACTGTCTTTCCACAGGGTTCCACTTGGACTTGCTTCTTCATGCATTTTCATGGGCATTTTCAAAGTCAGGTTCTGTTCTTTTCAAGGGAGCAGGACACAGGCACTAAGACAATGAAGCCCATTAGAATTCATGCTTTTGCAGCTATTACAGTAGCCCTCATCAGACCACTGACAAAAGGGAAGATTTCAAGGTGTAATATAATCTTTAATAAAGTTTATATTAATTTGTGTTAATTCAATAAAAGACTGACTTAAAATTTTAAGTAGATTGATATATTGATTTTGTATGCATTCTATGTATTGATATGCATAGAAGTAGAAATGTAAAATTATAATAATAATAAGATATTATAGCCCTGGCTGGTTTGGCTCAGTGGTTGGAGCATCAGCCTGTGGACCAGAGAGTCCTGGGTTTGGTTCCCGCTGGGAGCATGTACCAAAAACAAAAAAAAGATATTATAGAGAAAGAAAGCTATAACATACTGATTAAATAAATCCCATTCGTGGAAATAAAATTTTATGAATAAAAACCATTTTAGAAGGATAAAAAAATGAATACTGGAAGGGTGAAGACTTGGACTTTATCCTTTGTTTTCATGTCTACATTGTTTGGAATCCATCATGAAGCAGAATTCATTTTATAAGAAGCAAAAAGGAATATCCACTGGGGAGAAAAACCCCTCTCACACCCAGGTTATCACCTAACTAGGGAAACACAAATCTGGTAGTGAAGGGCCAGTAAGGAGGTCTTTCCACATCTCTTTTTGGGCTCATACTCACAGGGCATCTACCCTGATGTTCTACCCTGATGTTCTTCCTAAGGACAGTGCTTCCGCAAAGTCTGCCCTTAAAACCATCTGCCTCAGAATTAGCTGGCCCAACATATCATGAATGAGCATTTCTGAGGTGCAGCTTTGGTCTGCATCTTTAACAAGTTCCCCAGGTGATTATGCTGAACATCGAAGTTTAGGGACCACTGCCCTAGGGCATCGGTCCTGGAGGGAGTAAGAAGAAAACTGAGCAATTAATACATGTTTCATGTACGTCTCTAACCAAAAGCTTGGTGCCCTGTCCCCTTGGGTCCTTTCCCTGGTGGGTAGAGCTAAGTCTTCACACCTCCATTTCTGAAGCTGGTGAATTGAGAAAAGTAGATTCCAGGCTCGTGACTTTTCTCTCTGATGCCAGTAAAAGGTTTCAGACCCAGAAATCTGGTTTCTGGGTGTCCTACAGAGCTGAGAAACCAATCCATACTGCTGGAGGCCAGATGACTTCAACATAAAGTTCAGAGTAGAACTGGGTGTCTTTGTCAGGATCAGGTGGGTGTGTACATGAGCGCGTGCGGGCGTGTGTGTGTGTGTGTGTGTGTACAGTGATGCTCATCACTTCTCTGTGCTCTTGATGAAGGTACTTCTTATCATTCCTTCCTAAAGACAGGGATATCATAATTACCATTGACCAGTGACTCTCATACCTCTAACCCTGAACCTTGGGGAGATGAGGAATAGAGCCAGCTGCCTGCTCAATGGTGTCCTGCCTGTAATCCCTAGTATAGTCCCATACTTTCATCAAAGGCAATAAATCTTAGACTTAGGAAATATCTACTCCCTCAATTAATTTGCCTGAGTCCCATGAAAGGTGAGACAATGAGTTTCTTCACTAGAGAACTTTGCATTTTTAGCTTAATGGAATCAGTGTCACCTAATACAGTATAGGACATCTCCCAGGATCAATATTTGGTGATGAAATTTTTTCACTATTCTTGCATCCCCAGCAGACAGGACAGCGGCATGAGGCCTGAGAACCAGAGCAGTGTGTCTGAGTTCCTCCTCCTGGGGCTCCCCATCCGGCCAGGGCAGCAGGGCGTGTTCTTCACCCTGTTCCTGGGCATGTACCTGACCACAGTGCTGGGCAACCTGCTCATCATCCTGCTCATCAGGCTGGACTCTCGCCTGCACATGCCCATGTACTTCTTCCTCAGCCACTTGGCCCTCACTGACATCTCCTTCTCATCTGTCACTGTCCCAAAGATGTTAATAAGCATGCACACTCAGAATCAATCCATCCCCTATGCAGAATGCATAGCACAGATGTATTTTTTCATATTTTTTACTGATCTGGACAATTTTCTTCTCACCTCAATGGCATACGATCGATATGTGGCCATCTGCCACCCTCTCCACTATATGACCATCATGAGAGAGAGACTGTGTACCTTACTAGTAGCTGGATCCTGGATCTTGTCCTGTGCCAGTGCTCTGTCCCACACCCTTCTCCTGGCCCAGCTGTCCTTCTGTGCTGATGACACCATCCACCACTTCTTCTGTGACCTTGGTGCTCTGCTCAAGCTCTCCTGCTCAGACACATTCCTCAATGACCTGGTCATTTTCACAGTAGGTGTGGCTGTCATTACTCTCCCACTAATGTGCATCTTGATCTCTTATGGCCACATTGGGGCCACCATCCTAAAAGTTCCGTCTACCAAGGGCACCTGCAAAGCCTTGTCCACATGTGGCTCCCACCTCTTGGTGGTATCTCTGTATTATGGAACAATTATTTGGCTCTATTTTATCCCCTCATCTAGCACCTCCAGCAATAAGAACATAATTGCTTCTGTGATGTACACAGTGGTCACTCCATTGTTGAATCCTTTCATTTATAGCCTAAGGAATAGGGACATGAAAGGGGCCCTGGAGAAACTCTTCAGCAGGGTTATGGTCTTGTCTTAATGACATTTGGTCATCTTTATAATAGACACATTTTTCCCTGGATGCCAGCCCCCTAATAAGAATGGAATAAGTGTTCGGTAAATTATTGATAACTTGAATTACATCCTGTTAACAGTTAATCTCTCTTCCTTGTAATTATTTACCATGAATTGTGAAATCTGACTTGATATTATTGATTATTGCTCTGATCTATTAGACTGAGGAACTGCATAGCTAGTAGAATTTATGTCTCTCCTCTTATTTCCTGGAAATTTGTTACTTATTTTTTAAAAAAAGATTTATGGAGGAGGTAAAATTGACATATAAACGTTGTATGTGTTTATTTATTTATTTATTTATTTTATCCTCACTCAAGGACTTTTTTTTTGCATTTATCTTCAGATAGAGCAGGAAGGAGAGAGCTAAGAGAGAGAGACAGAGACATTGATGTGAGAGAGACACATCGACTGGCTGCCACCCACACAACCCCAACCTGGGCCGGGGACAAACTGCAACCGAGGTACATGCCCTTAGCGGGAACCAAACCCGGGACTCTCTGGTCCGCAGGCCGACACTCTAACCGCTGAGCCAAACCGGCCAGGGCTAAACGTTGTATGTGTTTAAAGTGTACAACTTGATGTTTTGATATGTATGCATTGTGAAATGATCACAGCCATCAAGCTAATTAATATATCTATCACCTCCACATAGTTATCCTTTTATTTTACTTTTGTGTGCATGATGAGAAGATGTAATTTAAGATCCACCCTCTTGCAAATATCAAGTGTACAGTATAGTATCATTAATAAAGTCATCATGCTTTACATTAGATCTCAAGAATTATTCATTTTGCATAACTGAAACTTTGTATATTGTGCTAAGTGAAATAAGTCAGACTCGAAAAGACAAATACAGCATGATCTCATTTATAGTCCAAAATAGTCCAATTCATAGAAGCAGAGAAGAGAATGGTGGTTTCCAGGACATAGGGGAGGGGAAATTCAGTGATGCTGAGAATGTATTGCTTTTTATGAATTGTTGGAAGATACTGGCTAATAAGACTTCCATGGCATATAGAGGTTACAGAATTGGGAATGTGTAAAGTATCTCCTTTCCTTTCCACACCTCCCATTCAGTGCTCTTTCCATATTTTCAGTTACTGATGGTGATGATGGTGGAGCAGGAAAAGAAATTGCATAGCATCCTTTATAGCTCCAGGAAACTACCCACTCTTACAAGTTTAGCTGTTCCACTTAAGGACTCACAGCTTCTTCTGGATTCTAGAAACACTGATCACTCTTATGAACTACCATAACCTTCATTCAGCAGTTCACTCTCAGAACAATGATCTATGACGCTTTCTGACTGCATGTGTGAGCTTCAATCAAGACACAGGCTCAATCCAGTAGGGAAAGAAGACAGAAAGCATCCATAGTCTGGAGCCTCCTGTTACCACCCCCCACTGAAACTGGTGACTTTCTTGTTCAATCTCTTCATTATCTATCTTCCTGAAAAATCCTTTGTATTCAGCTTAGTGACCCCAGGTTTGTACTCTGAGCCCAAGTAATCTAACTTCTTTGTCATCCTGTGAAGGGCCACATGGTTCTCTAAATTCAGACTGTACTGAGTTAAGAATAAACAGGATCACAAACACTTGTGAGACTCAGCACTATGTAGCTGTAAGAAAGGAGCACCTGGGAAAGACCAGTCCCAGTTGCAAGCTGTGTCTACCAGAGTGTGTGGCCTCGGGCAATTTACTTACCTCCCCAGAACCTCAATTTCTTCTTCCGCGTACACTGGAAGAAGAAATAAATGAAATGCTAACTTTGGCTTAGTATTACAACTGACTGAGAATAAGGATTATCAGCTTTCCTTCCCTATGCATCAGAGGTGAATTTTGGAGCAGAGCTTGCATAGATAACTCCTGAGTTATGGTGACCATGGGAGCATGGCATGTAAATCATAATCCCAATTCATAGGTAATCAGCTGTCCTAGGATACAGCAACACATCTTCTCTGGCTTGAACTAGAATCAAATAACTAAGTAACAATAAATGAGTGAGTTGGTAGGTGGGTAGATGAGGAAAGACAGTTCAGAAGAGCATCTTACTCTCTACTCTTAATATTCACTCAGAGAGTTGTCCTTGACCTGGAGCTGACGAAGGTGCCTTTTAGCATCCTAGCTTATTTTGTGGAAAAACAAAAAGTGCCCTACACCCCCACCTTGCTCTGCTAAGCTGCAGGCATCCAGTTTCTTTGTCTGCAGATTCAGTCTCAGCCAGTTTCAGAACCAAACAAAACTTGAGTAGGGCTGGAGACCTTCTTGCTAGTCTAGAGGAAGCATGCTTTGGCTGGCCTGGACACACCCATGAACATTTAGCTCAGTTTCTCTGCTTGCACTCCAGTTCTGTTGTTTGGATCCCAGATCATCTGCTGGGCCCTGTGAGGCCCACCCTCTAAAGGGGTAACACTGTTATTCATATTTTTAGCCATGGGCTAGTGAGTATGCTCTGAATGGGTTTTTCTCAAGAAATGTCAAGTCCAATTGCCTGTTGAGAAATGTTTTACCACCACCTGTCCTGCTACAGTGGCTTTCCCTGGTTGTAGATAGCCCAATGCAAACCAGTAGGTGCCATATTGATTTCAATATGTGTATAGAACTTCTGGAAGTTGCTTTGGAGCATTTCCCCTCACCATAACAGGGCTGCCTCATGACCTTCCCCAGTGAAGCATCTCAATGGGTTGAGAAAAAAGTTTGCTATATTTTTTAAAATCATGTGTGATGTGGTCCCAAGTTTACAAATACTTCTGGAAATTAATAAGCACTGACACTTCAACTGACCAGTTTGTATCCTTCTCAAATGTTAAAGCTAACACTAATCATCTTTTTACTGATATACAATTTATTTCCTCTTGTTTTGATAAATATTTAGTATAATTAGATTACTGATTCAGTTCGAAGCTATCATTTTTATTTTTTCTTCTTTTTTTATCCTCACCCGAGGACACTTTTCCATTTTTTGTTCAGGTAGAGTGGGAGGGAGAGAGAGGAACAGAGAGAGAGAGAGAAACATCGACGTGAAAGGACACATCGAGTGGTTGCCACCCGCACAACCGACCAGGGCCGGGGACAAATTGCAACCGAGGTATGCGCCCTTAGCGGGAACCGAACCTGGGTCTCTCAGGACCACAGGCCGACACTCTAACCACTGAGCCAAACCGGCATTTTATCTTCTTTTTTTATGTTGGGGTGACATTGGTTTGCCACACCACACGTTTCAAGTGTACAACTCAATAAAACATCATCTGCACATGGAATCATGTGCCCATTATACTCTTTCAAAGTATAACAATAGACAGATTTTCTTCAGTGAGAAGAATCATAACATCACAGAACCAGGAGCTCCAGCATTGACACTGTAGTTTGGGATGATATATAATTTTACATTATATATATGTAAAATTTCAACTCTGACATATAAGTTTTAAGAGTAAAAAATGATCCTATTTCGTCACATATGAAAAGTGAAGAATTAGGATCACTTAGCTTTCAAAAGAAAAACAGATAACCTTAAGTGTTGCATTTATTATTATCTTTGAATCCAAGAGTTGTTTTGTTTGTTTACTTAGGAAGAAGCTATAAATGAAATCAGGAGGGAACTCAAATATACATAATATTTAATTTACTTGTCATTAAGGATAAAAAGTTAGAGTTAATACCAGAAAAATAGTGAGACTTCCCTTTTCTCTTTTTTAAAATATGTTTTTATTGATTTTTTAGAGAGAGAGAGAGAGAAACATCCATGTGATAGAGAAACATTGATCAGCTGCCTCCTGCACGCTCCCTACTGGGGACCAAGTCTGCAACCGGGCATGTGTCCTGACCGGGAATTGAACCAGAACCTCTCAGTCCGTTGGACAACACTCAGTCCACTGAGCCACACCAGCTGGGCAATAGACTTTCCTTTTTTTGTCGATTCTGTCATTCTAGCCATTTAGCAAGTGAACTGCTCTGTGTCGGACAGTGTACCCAGCCCTGGTCCTACAGAGCTAGATAAAGACACAGCATCCACGCTAAAGAAGGGAACATTCTAGTACTGTAGAGATAGGTGAGAGTATTAAAAAAGTGCTTTAATATGCCCTGGCCAGTTTGGCTAAGCGGTTGGAGCATCATCCCGCGAACCAGAGAGTCCTGGCTTCGGTTCCCGCTAAGGGCACGTACCTCGGTTGCAATTTGTCCCCAGCCCTGGTTGGGGTCATGTGGATGGCACCCACTCAATGTGTCTCTCTCACATCGATGTTTCTCTCTCTCTCTTCCTCCTTCTCTTTCTCCCGCTCTATCTGAAGAAAATGCAAAAAAAAAAAGTGCTTTAATATAATAATAATAATAATGACTGCTTATTATATAGGATTACTGTGTGTCATGCACAATATTAAAAACTTTACTTGTATTCTCTCTTTTAATCCTCATAATAATCCTACAAAGCATATACTGTTATTGTCTGCATGTCTCAGTAGAGGAAACTGAGGCTTAGAGACAATGACATACGTATAATAAAGGGTAGCGGCACAACGGAGGATATAGTTCAGGCTGCCTGGACATCAGTGACAGCTTTACAGGAGGAGTTCTTCAGAATGTTAAAGGATGTTCAGGATTATAATACATAATGGCAGAAATGGCCATGCAGGCAGAGGGAACCAGGGCACTGAAATACCAGGGAAATGTAAAAAAGTTGGTGCTGCTAATGTAGATGTGTGTGCGAGTCAACGGAGCATCAAGAGATGAGTCCAGACAGGCAGACCAGGGCTCTATTGTGAAGGGGCTACGATGCCCTAGCTTAGAAGTCGCCTTGCAAGTGATGGAGTGCCCTTGGCTGGGAATGGGGTAAAGTAGAGATGAAACCTGGAGAAGGCTATTTGTGTTTTAGAAAGATAACCAGGAAACCAATGTGTGAGATGGTTTGAAGAGCCTTGGGGCAGGGAGCGCAATTAGAAGGTCATTGCACATCCAGGTAACAGAT